TCTACTTCCCTACTGAAGTCATTCTAGCCAAGATTACTAGAATGAAAGTCATTCACCGTAATTACACCTTCATCTGCTACTGGATATTTTATACATGTCATAGTTTGAAATTCAAAATGTATGATTACATTCAACAGCGCTCAAATTCTAAATGTATTTGGTGAGTTTGAAAATGGTGTCATTTCTTAAAATATATGATTTTAAATTTCTGCCTCTAACATATTATTATGCAAATACTTAATATGGAATGTGGGAAGGAACTGTAGCAAATTGAGATCACAAAGGCAAAAACCCTGTCGACATTTGCTAAGCATTTGCCACATGCGCAAATTGCTTCATGTCTGCGGTGTCACATGGAGTGGTGGGCGTGGGGCGGTGGGGCGAGGGCGGCTAATGCAGAAGTTCTTGGGGTCCTTTAACAAGGTTATCGCTGAACTTGAACAGACGCGTGCTATCTATATGAACCGCCTCACGGCCTCACGAAGAAGGGCACACCAAGGCACTGAGATATCCGCTCCGTTTCCTGACCCAGCTCGCTGTCCACGACATTCAAGATGTGTCCGGTGCGGAAAATGTCATGATGTCGACCATATTCACCTTGCTGACGATTCTGGACGAACAATAGGCTCGGTTCAGTGGAGGCACCGTGAAGTGTCGTTGGACTGCGAATAATGATGACAAGGTACGCTGAATCATCATTTCGCACAGAGCGTCTACGATTGTGCAGGGCCTATTAGAAACGTAGAAGCCTACCCTCCAATGACTATGGAGCGAAATCCTCTAGCATATGGGCCATAGTCATAGGAATAGACCACTATCACGGTCTGCCCGCGCTGCAAGGCGCCGTCAAGGATGCACGTGCCATGCGCAACTACTTCGTCGACGAGCTCCGTGTCCCAGAGTCTCACGTCGCCCTTCTTCTCGACCATACTGCCACTCGCCGAAACATTCTCGACACCTTATACAGTCATTTCTGCGACAACAAGAATGTACGATATGGGGACGCCATCGTCATTTACTACGCCGGACTTGGGACAACCTATGATACCTCTGCCACAGACGGTCATGGGGACAGCCTAGAAGCCATTCTTCCCTCTGATCGCGGCATGTCCGAAGATATGTCCACCTCCGACATCATCACCGACATCAGTGACCGCGAAATCCAGCTATTCCTCTCCGAACTGCGGGATATAAAGGGAGAGAACATCACTGTTGTTATGGACTGTTGTTTTTCCCCTGGAATCTCGCAAGCGGATGGGGTACGGAGTAGATTTGCTCCTGCACTTCCTGGCTGTGCAAGGAGCATGCTTCTCGCGGCAGAGGACAACCCACGGAAACGATGGCCCGACGGTCGCGCATTGGATGGTCGATGGATTCCTGACCCATCCTCCTACGTCGCCATTCTCGCTTGCCACGACTCCGAAATAGCGGAGGATACTGCGGAGGGTGGCGCATTTACCAAGGCTCTACTTCAGACACTAGAAAATGCGCCTATATACAATATGACTTACACTGATCTCAATCGTCGCTTGATTGAGATGGGTCAAGAACTCCATCAGACACCGTTCGTCACTGGACGTAACAAGGACCAGCTAATATTTCAGATTGCCTGTCTTGTAAGGGTGAGGCCGCGCTGGATGAAGAATGCTAGCAAAACTCGGAAGTTTCTCGTGCCATCGCGTCAGTGATGTAGATTTGGGAGGTTTGTGGCTTCTGACCACATTCGGTGCGTCCGTTTCATCCGGGATCCCCCTCGGAAGCTGTGCTCACTTGCCCTTGCTGCCGTTGTGCTGCAGCGCTATGTCCTTCCAATTGACTTCCATGAAGTCGACCGTTCGAGCGTTGACGTTTCCCGCCGTTTAACGGTCGATGCATCTCTTCGTAAACCGCCTGGATCTCACACGCAGGAAGCTCGTTATTCTACGCCCCTTGAGCCCTACTAATATCTGCTCATTGTCTGTAAATCTTCCTTGATGATGCGTGTACTTGTATTCATGATTTCGTGGCCTGTATATTTTATTCTCATTCTCGTTTACGGCATGGCACCAGGTTATTCTGTACAATCAAGCATTCCTGTCATTTCATCTACTTGGAACAGCCCCATGTTCGGAAACCATATATGAAAAAAGTGCGCGCGGAATAGAGAGGGACATATCCTTATGTACGTGTCGCTTCTATTTCTACGTCGACTAATTAAGACTTCTATAATAGGATAATTAGTTTATTGTGCGCTCAAGGCGGTTGTGTATCCATTGAGCTGCATGGTTCGCCGTCGTGCACGCCACGCAGGGCCTACCACAACTTGGGGCATAGCGCGTCACGCCCATCGGAAATGCCTTGGGAACTCGCGCGCGTTCACCACATTGCGGTGGTGAATACCGCCGAAGCTTCAGCGCAGTATTGTCGTGCTACGCCAAATTGGTCTAAGGCTACACCAGCAATAGCGGTTCGTAGTCCGCGAAGTTGTTTCAACTGCTGATCATCAGCCACAAACCGTCCATTTGAATGCTAGTAACCTACAAGACACCGCTCTCGAATCCTTCAACCGAGGCGCTCTACTTCAACGTGGACACCTCACAACGTGCGTGAAGATTTCGTTGTGTGGTCCAACCAGTAACATGGTGCGTATTCCGTGCCCCCCTAGATAAGTGGTTCTTCACTCCTCCCCCGAAACTGCCTAGCAATAATCTGTAGCCGCGTGAAGTCTCTTCCCAGCAAGATCCCTCCGGACACTTCAGTTCGTCGACCGCAGAGTCTGCGGTCAATCGCAACCAATCTACGCTGCATTGGAAGACGAAAGGTGGAAACGCCCGACCTAAGTACGAATGCCGCTTCGCTGACGCGCCGCGTCACGATTGGATCTCGAGTTGTCCAGAATCTCCAGCCGGTACCGGTAACAACATTTAAAAAGCGAGAATTAAACCAAGATAGCGGACAGTTGAGTAGTGTTCATGGTATCGCAGTGCAGCGTACTCGGGGATAATCTGATTCGACTCTGTCTTCAAACATTGCAGCTTTACATGTCGAATTCACTGCAGCTCTGGCTGCCGATACCGGACATAACAAATCTTTCCTCCATTTTATCGCGTTGAGAAGCTTCCGACAAACTCCGAAGAGTACTCGCACTCTGCGTTTCATCTTGGACGGCACTTGTCACCACTTTGTCTCATCGACTGGGGCCCAACCTTGGCTCGACATGCAAGGTTCGAGAGACAACCCTCATAGCTGGTGGTCTTCTCAGATTGAACGCAAGGCTTTGAGACGTCAAGGTACTCGATTTCTAATATGTTTCCGTTACGGCAGCCTTATTTGATCCCCAAGTATCGTCTTCAATCGACAATTCATCCTCTTCATATTCCGCAAAATCCGCGGCCCTAAACTTTGTAGACGAAACGTTATGCCAATAGGATGTATATAAACGTTCGGAAAATGTAAGTGTATGGGAGTTAATAATTAGCACGATACAGGGATTCACGGAGGTCATTTAGATAGTGGAATGTTAAACAGGTACGACGAACATCTACATGCTTCAACTGTAAGCTCGAGGTGAGATTCATCTGATGCGTCCATGTCCAATCCTGAAGATGAAGTTATCCTTGTACCGACCTGAGGCAACGGGAGTCTGGCGCGCACTTGGCAGGATAATTCCCTGCAATAGCTCTGGATATGTTGTATCGTTCAGGTGAACAGACCGCAGTTGCCTCAAGAGCGCTACAGTGAATGCCCCACCCTCATCAGTGTCCACCGCCTGCTCGTAATCATGGCAGGCGGCAAGCAAGACATGAGAGAATGCGTTAGGACTGTAAACTCCGTCCGCTGTTGATCCTGTCCTCCATCGCTTCCGCGGGTTCTGCTCAGCAGCGCGCAACATCGGTCTATAGTCATCCCCGAGTGGATCAGTCCGGCGAACGCTGTGACCACCCCGCGTAACTCCATTCGCGAAGCAACAATCCAACGTGAGTGTGATGTTTGGACCTTTTCTCTCGCGCAAGTCCCCCAGGAACAGGTTGAGTTCGCGGTCACTGATGTCAGTGACTGCATGTTTGCCACGTTTCGAGGTGCCGCGATCTACAGGAGCGATGGCCTCCACAGACTCTGATGAAGGAGAACGAGCGGGATAGGAGGCCCCGTGTCCGGAGAAATGGATGAAAATGGCGTCGCCATGTTCGATCCTGCCATTGTCGTGCAGATGGTCGTAAAGTGTCTTGATAATATTTTCGCGCGTGGCATGCTGATTAAGCAACATGACGATGTTACTGTCGGGAACGTGAAGAGACTCTACTAGATATTGCTGCATGTTTTTTGCATCCTTGACTGCGCCATGCAATCTGGCTCGCGGGTAGCTGTCGATGCCGATGATAACCGCCCACAAAGGTGGGATCCGCGCCGAAGAGGATTGTACATCCTGGACAGAGCATTAAAAAATGTTGAGAGAGAATGACAATGACATACCTGAAGGCGCGAGATGGGAGCACTTTGGATCCGCTCGGCACTCAAGGGAAAACCTTGTGCAAGGACCCAGAGGAGGCTGTTCTTCTCTTTGTTGAGTGTATGAAGGTGACACAGACGCATAAGTTTGTCCCAGTCATCACGCGATTTGGTGGCCTTGCAACGATCCCTGTACATTCTCCGCATCTCTACGGGATCCGCTTCGCCGTACTCCATTCTGAGATCCTGTCGAATGGTTTCTTCCACTCCAGTCAACTCCTCGATCTCCTTTTCAATAGAGATCAGACTCTCGAATGAACCTCGCTGTAGTGGGGTTAGCGAATTCCATCGTTGTTCACAGATGGAGTGCCAATTCTTCCAGAAGTCCCCTTCTGGCACTGCCTGGAAAGCTGAGTCAACTTAAGATAATTGGACGGACATAATGCTAAGTATTACCTGGAATCCTTCATGACCGTCGGAATGGTGAGCAAATGTGCGGCTACCGTATCCAGTTCCGCCACTGCTGGATTGCTCCGAAGAAGCCATAATTCACCAGGAAGAGGGTTGGGTGTTTGGCGAACAGTCGTAATGCGCTTTATGTCCGGGAGCGTAGGCTCGGTCTACCGACTCAGCGGCAATACCTGCAGGCAGGTTAGCTCTGGTCACATGGAGGAAGGCTAACGCTGAGATGTCATGCATGATGCTCCGTCAAACTAATACAGATCGCGATATCGGCAATACAGCGGAACACATGTAATCAGACCACATTACTCCGCGCTTTTTGTGGTCTGTGCACAGGTCTGAATAGCGCAACTTCCAAATGGCAATCATCGCCTTCATCATTTGCTGCTCCGGAAGAAACCTTAATACAACAGATGGTATTATTTGGACGTCAAGCTTCAAGCCTCCTTTTCAGGCCTAATGCCTTGAGTGCACAACTCACATTAATATCACGCAGTATCTCTAGCTTATTGATTACATGTCGATTCGCAAACGGGACATCTTATGGGAGTATTGAATGTAGCAAGACACTTACCGGTGATTGGGAGACACCGGCATGATTGTTTGAGCAAGCTTTTACGTTCTGCAGCAGCAACCTGATATCAGGCCGTTAGCGACTGCCCGTTTACCGCCCCGCACCTGTGCTACACTGTTTATTGAATTGCTGCAATGTCTTCATCTGATGAATGTTGACGTAACTTACCGTACATCGAACACGGGCTATGCTCCACGATCAGAGATATCTGGCGATGGTGAGTCATGCGACCCACACGCGCTGATAGCGACGTGATCCACGAGTTGTACTGATAGCTCGACGACTGCGGGCTGGAGACCGCAAAATGTGTATGCTGCGAGCATTCGAATGCAGCATCAATCTAACAGCGTCTCCCTCGTTGGTCTCGATGGCACCGTCAGTTGTTGACAGTTTCTCGAGAAATGCGATATGAGCGTGAACACGGACTTAACAATCACACGATGCCTAGCATTGCCACACCCTTTGGAAGCAACCAGTAGGCTTGGAGGGAGGGCGAATGTGTCGGCCTTCTGATCAGGTCTGGCCACTGCACATCTTCTGCTGCATGGATTTCTGTTAAAGTGCTGTTAGGAACATGGTAAATGGTGACGACCAGGTTGGGACGTTGGTCCAAACGGGGCGCCAGGCGGAATGGCGTCATGGAGATGTTCAACAGCCAGGAAGCCGGCATGCACTGAGTACGCACAGACCGTGTCCAATGTAGTCCATTCCTCCGAAAGCACGTCGAAGTCTAGTCTCACAACTTGTGACCACATCCATGATGTCTTCTTCGGCGTCTCTTGCCCGCCGTCGAGCACGGCATTCTCCTCTCTGTAACGCTCTCCCACAACACAACGATTCCTTCTATCCGCCTCCAGTTTTGCACCCGGCACTGTTGCCACCGCACAGCCTCGGTCCGCACCGTGCGTAGTAGAGCTCGCCTTTCTAAAGACAGCCACTTCGCCTTTGCGGGCTCATGAAACATCAGAAGTCGCAGAAGGGTGGGATAGTGCTCTTCTGTGCCCCTCCCAAATTCTACCGAAAACAAGTGTCTTTGTAAGTGCCCGGAGCTTGTGGAGGCCTGCCTGGGTCGTCCGTACATGGTACGGTGCATGTTCCGCACACCAGTCTATTATGGACAGCTTCCAGTTCCATGTTGAATAATACCCGAGAAGACTCCGATAGCTATAACGCGTTGAGGTGGTGACCTTATTCTGTGCCGAGCACGGAATCAAAGGCGTCTATCGCGGAGTACCTAGTGCCATCGACTCGTAACGTTTCTGAACGCGCATATGCATACCCATAGAGTCAGGCATGCTGTTGGGTCTGGACAGCAAAATCCTACATGAAGGAACTACGTACGACTATATATTGTTTGGTTGGCGTGTTTCATCCTTGGTACCCCGAGATTGGTAGTGATGCCTTCCTGTTCGTCAGTGTGATACGGGACATGTACGAGTTTCATCTAACAAAACTAACTCACTTCAATTCAGCGTCAGCCCAATGAGAGAAATGTGCGTGTGGAATTCACATAAGGTTAATGATCGCAGCGTTGGTAGAGCACGCGATTATGCCTGCAAGCGCAGACTCCTTCAACACAAGAATTGATATTCGCAATCGACGCGCTTGTCCTGATTGACTGCGTCCAGATTTCCTAATTAATGATGGGAGCTCGGTTTCATCTGCTGTGGATTTAGCATCATGAACATGGGCGAACGCCAACATGAGCTCACAGACCTGGTAGTGGATACTACAAGCCTGCGAAGGTCACGAGCTAATCCTTGGCCTTCTGATTGCTTCATGGCCAGTGCTGGCTCTATGTGCTAGATTTTTGCTTAAACATTGTGTGAGTGAAGATCCAGTGTTCAGTGTAATTATCTGATGGTGCTACTGGGAAGAGGCTTGAGCTTGAACAAGAGGCTGAACGGTCAGCCAGCGAGCGAAGTATCACAGTATGCACACACGTGCATCCTGTGCACAAAAATTGCAGACTTTCTCAGAGTATATATTCAGTCTTGGATCTTTGTATTTGAGAGCCGCGGATAGTGCTGAAGTTGAGTGCATTTCGATGTATGTACTTATAGTACATGCAAATAATCGTGACGCGCCGCGCGTTCAAATTGGCGTGACAAGGTGTAGTGCCACTTCCGTGACTGAGTGACCGATGGGCTCAAGCGCTCAACGCGCTGCGGTCAAAGGTCAACGTCAATGTTTCAACGTTTCAACGTGAATTTCAACACCCAAGTAATGCTCGGACTGAGCCAGTCGTATCTCGCGACCTGTCCTACTGTGCAACAATTTCTTTTGACAATCATGATGTGTCGCATGTGCAAGCCGCCGGCTCACTCCCAGTATGACCTATGTAACAGGAGTAGGGTCATTGTAGGCACCCGCTCATCCCATCGTCAAAGGTAAATAAGATAATGACTCATTTTTGATAACTGAAGATGACCTGAACATCTTCTTCGGGAGCTCCTCAAGAGGTGAGAACGTCGGAGCGACTGGCGAACATCATGGAACATCTGTTCCCGTGGATTCGACTTTCTGGACACTCGCATGCCTTGGAAACTGAATGTGTGACATCACAGGCACGCGTAGGAACGCTAGAGACCACGCTCGTACCTGCAGTATTGACCTGCAATATTGCAGTTACTTTGCCTTGTGACCGCTGTTAGAAGTTTGGATAATCCCAGTGGACTCCAGGACCCATCTTCACCTGCGAGTGCAGATTCTGCCAATAAATGATGCTGCAGTACGAATTATAACGGAAAACGAGGTGCTCGTGACAATTGTTGACGTTCACTGGACGAACACGACTGCTGTAACTTCATACGAGAGCCCATTGATGTCTCGCAGCGGGCATAGCAAACGATGCCTATCTCCTTCCCGACCCGCGAGCTTCGCCACGATCGCCCTTCAGTCAGTGTCACTGGCCTTGAACCGATGGACCTGGATGGATCTGTCTCGTCCACGCTCATGACAAGGCACAATACAATACTCGGGTTCCACCGGTATCGGAGGGTTCTACGGAAAGACAGACGAAGAGATCTTTGAGACTCTGACTTACGCTACAGACTGTGGAGTGACGTTCTGGTACACCGCAGACAGGTATGGCACTAGCGCACAATTAAATTATTTGGCTTCAGATGGCCATAGGGGCGAGTTCTGATTTTCACGATTTCTGGGACCGTCAAGCGAGGACAGTGGTCCACGACTCTTAAGCGACATGCTCAGAATTTCCCCGTGACCAAATTCCGCAGCTTAAACTCAGCCAGGAGCTGTGGACAAGACGAAATCGAACGGTAAGTCATCCTGCATCAGACAGCAACTTGAAAACCCACTCACTGCACTCTTTGCATGGACTTGAATGCCCATCGAGGGTCGGATCTCGCATTGTCTTAAGCTCTTCAACTAGTGTCGATCGGTTTGCCCCTAAGACAATCATAATGAAGACCCTCCCACCCTATGTCGAGAGCGGAAACGTCAGGTACATCAGCCTGAGCGAGAGCAGTATCGACGCGCTTGGGTTCGCCGCGGCATGGGCGATGGAGTCCAGCGCTTTTGTGCCTTCGTCCAGGGAAAGACAGCTGCGAGTACCGAACTCGCGTTCTACCTTGTTCCGATTTTGAACGCGGCGTCAATTTTGGGGTGTGTCTCGGCGGACTACATCGCGGACCACGTCGGTGTAAATGGATGGAAAAGGAGTGGACGGGAGGACACACGCTAGAGTCAAAGGGCTTCAGTTCCTTGATGATAGAAGGACTGAAGCCCGCAGAACGAGCGAAGCGGGTGAAAAGTCTTACGGACGCTAATGCCCGATAAGTACGTAAAAGGAAATACTGACTGATAAGTAGAAATATAAGTTAATACTTATCTTGGCTAGGCTTGATATTCCAACACTCCCCCTCAAGCCAGGCGAAGTCCAAGCATTCCGATGAACTTCTCCACCTTCTGGCAGGTTGTTGGAACGAGACCGCTCAGGAGCGAATGGGGAGGAATGGATTGACGGGTTTGACAGCGCGGTCACGTGGTTGGCGCGCACCTACATAACGACGCGTTTCTCGTAGTAGACACCTCAGTCGAGTACGCCATTGTACGGCACGGCTGAGACGTAGCGTTGCGTTCATAACAGGTTATGAGCCCCGAAGAGCGCATATAGCCGTACGAAACATCGCATCAGCCATCGACTCTCCAATATTCGAGAACCAATCGACATAGTCATCATATTCGCATTAATATTCGTGCTCAATATTCCACCATGGCGGCTATCACCGACGTGAAGGTGCCCATCCTCCCGGAGAGCCAGCAGCTTAGCAAAGCCAACTGGTTCGACTGGAAAGGCAAGGTCATCACTATAACCAAGATTCGAGGACTATATGCGCACCTCACCGGAACGCTTACACGTCCACCCCCGGCATCTCCAGGCGCGGATCCAGGCGACATCGCACTCGCCATGGCAGAGCGGGAGCTGTGGGATAAACACGATGAATTTGCGAAGGCAATTATCACCCTGAACGTCGTCGACTTTATCGGCACCGGGGTGGAAGAAGATGGAAAGACGGCGCACCAAGTGTGGACGGCTCTGGTACAGAAACGGGAGCGGAAGACTGCGTTGACAATCACGAACGCCGAGGATTACCTCAAGGCG